CACCAACGACCTGGGCCTTCGGGTGCTCAATGACCTCTGCCTCGTCAACACCACCACCCACAGCACTACCAGCAGCGTGGTGGGGTGCCAGCCCTTCGGCGACTGGAATGTCTTCCTTCGTCGCTATGAGCTCGTGCCTGCATTCTTCGACAACATCTCGCCCTCGTCTGGCACCGGCGACGCCAGTATGCTCATGGACAGTGAGCTGCGCAACAAGCTCAGGAGCATGACCGCAGACGACCTGCGGGCCTTCGTCAAGGCCACCGTGTTGGAAACGCCCACCGAAGTCCTCGGCCACGTGGCCGAGACCGATCTCCCTCCCCTTGACGCGCCGCTGCAGGAGCTGGGCATCGACTCGCTGGGAGCCGTCGAGTTCCGCAACGCCTTGTCCAACAAGCTGGGCGTCAGGCTCCCCGCCACGACGCTCTTCGACTACCCCACCCTCGGAGCCATCATCGAGTTCATCTTCGGTGAGGTCCAGCGCAGCGTCAAGGGCCAAGGGTCAGACCACCCTGCCTCTCAGGCATCGTCTGATGCCTCCCGGCTGGTGGGTCCCCAGCTTGCTACCGGCCCGTCATCGGTTGATCTGGCCGTGGTCGGCACCGCTTGCCGTCTGCCCGGCGGGAGTATGTGTCTGGGTGGCTTGTGGCAGATGCTGAGTGAGGGCATGGACTGCATGGGTGAGGTGCCTTTGTCTCGATGGAACATGGAGGCCATGTATGACGCCGATCCGGACGCGCCTGGCAAGTGCTACGTCCGCGAGGGCGCCTTCCTGCCGTCGGATGGCAATGTCATGTCGTTCGACCACAGCTTCTTCAGCGTGTCTCCGTCTGAGGTTCGGTACATGGATCCTCAGCAGCGTGTGATGCTTGAGGTCAGCTACGAGGCGTTCCCGCGACAGCCTGGTCGGGCAGGGCTTCGACGTCTTCATTGGCTGCTGCAACCAGGACTGGAACTTCCTGGACATCAACAAGAAGAGCAGCAGCTACACAGGGACGGGCGGGG